CAGGTGTGCAGAGGAGGGAGGGGCCTGGAGAGCTCTAGTAAGAATGGTCTCAAGAACTAAAAGGTGGGCAGCAGGGAAGCTCATGAAGAAAGGTCTAGGAGTGGAAGTCTCATTTGAGGTTTGTGTAGCCTGAAGAAGGGAGGAAAGAACGAATGGAGTTATGACCCTCAGGGGCCATTCTGGAATATGGGTATAGAAGGTTAAACCAGGGAGGGTTACCTGGTCCAGGCCACTCATGAGAGAGTCTTAGAGGGAGGGATTCTGAGGAGCTGGAATTGGCAGAGGCCCATCTCCAGGCCTGGGAACCTGATGCCTCATGATCCCTCCCAACCCTCAGACTCTGATGGACTTATGTGCCCAGAAGCCCTGTCCACACAATGCCCATTGCCTCCAGAGTGGGCCCTCCTTCCAGTGCCTGTGCCTCCAGGGATGGACCGGGCCTCTCTGCAACATTCCACAGTCCTCCTGCCAGAAGGCTGCGCTGAGCCAAGGTACCAACACAAGGCCCAACTGAGGAGCAGATGAAGAAAAACAAGTGTCCTTCTTCACCCCTTTCCTAAGAGCAGCCACACAGCTTTTGGCCAAAACAACCACCTGAGAGTCAAAACAACATAAACTAACTATAGTTATTTTTTTTAATATTTGTAGTTGTAGATGGACACAATACCTTCATTTTATTTATTTATTTACTTATTTACTTATTTATTTTTGTAGTGCTGAGGATTGAACTCAGTGCCTCGCACATGCTAGGCAAGTGCTCTACTTCTGAGCCACAACCCCAGCCCCCAACTATAGTTATTGATTCTACAGTTTAACACCCAGGAAGCCTAAAACAACCCAACTCCTGTCACCACATTCAGCACAACACCAATCACCCCAGTAAAGTAGACTCCAGCTTAACACAACCACCAGGGACATAACTCCTGGTGGAGCAACTCAACATTGTTACGGTTGTAACTCACCTTGAGTGGACTACATTTAACCCAACTACATCAACACACTTCACCCCACCCCTGTGAGGTTACACCAACCCTCTTGTAAAAGAATACTCTACCTTCAAATAAGGTTCAACATGAGAAGAGCTCAGGGAAGAGCTTAGCGCTTAGGTTGATGGGAATCACGGTGAGAAAAATCAAAATTGATGCAAAATCCAGGGGACAAACTTGGGACAGTAGTAAAGCCTCATGTCACCAGCCTGAAGTTTCTCTTGAGTTCATTTTTTTAAAAACTTCATTTTATTTGTGGTGCTGAGAAATCAAACTAAGACCTTGTACATGCTAAGCAAGTGCTCTACCACTGAGCTGTATGTCCAGCCTTCCCTTGTGCGCTCTCTTGCTTATGGCTCAAGACAGTAGTCACCTTACAACACTGATAAAAGAAATCTTTCCCATATTCTGGCAGAAAAGATAGGCAGAGAAACCTGATGTTCTACCCTCTTCAGTGTCAGGAGTTACTTTTTCCTTGTGCCCACGGGGGTTTCCACCCAAGAACATTAGTGGCTCCCAAGTTAAAGGCCTCTCTGCTAGAGATCTGGGATCCTGAAAACCCTTCCAGCCCACTTAGCTTCACTTCTCCCTGTTTGTCTTTCTCCCTCAGACATAGAAGTCTCTGCCCTGTGCCATAATGGAGGCCTTTGCATTGACAGAGGCCCCTCCTATTTCTGCCACTGCCCCCCTGGATTCCAAGGCAGTTTATGCCAGGATAACATGAACCCCTGTGAATCCCGGCCTTGTCAGAATGGGGCCACCTGTGTGGCCCAGCCCAATGGCTATCTCTGCCAGGTAAGAGGTGTAGAGAAAAGAAGGGAGAGAAGATAACTCTCCTTTCTGGAGATGGGAAACAGGACATGGCTGGAGATATGGAAAACAGTAATAATGGGAAGGATAACATGGTGTACCCAATTCTCCTCCCTTTCCTTTACCCCACACATCCAGCTAACCACCAAGTCAGGCCATTCTACCTCCTAAATATTTCTCCACTCTATCCTTTCCCCTTCACCCTTCATCCCACTGCTTTAGTACAGGCGTTTGTTGCATTCCACCTGAATACCCATGTCAGCCTCCATATCTATCCTTCCACTGGTTCAGTCTTTACTCCACAACCAGGGGATCACTGCAGATATTAAGTTGACCTGTCACTCCTCTGTTGAACATCCTTCAGGGGGCTGCCCACATCTTTATAAAGTTCAAGGCTCTGCCTGATACAGCACTGCCTGCCCCTCAGTCCTCATTTGTCACCTTCTCCACTCTCCACTTCCCTACTTCATTCTAGCAATGTAAACTTTACACACCCCATACTGATTCTTGCTTCTCAGCTTTTTTTGTTTGTTTGTTTTGTTTTGTTTTTTAATCTGTACTAGGGATTGAACCAAGGAGCACTCTACCATTGAGCTACATCCACAGTCTTTTTTTTTATTTTGAGACAGGGTCCTGCTAACCTGATGAGGCTGGCTTTAAACTTGCAATCCTTCTCATTTGGCTTCCCCAAGTTGCTAGTATTACAGGCGAGCATCAGTCTCAGTTTTTTTCCCTGCCATTGCCTCTGCCTGGAATGGCCTTCCCCACCTCTCTTCCACTGGATGGGGACCAGGAAGCACCTTCCTTAGGAAGATATCTCTAAGTCCTCTCTCAGATGGGTGAAGGCTTCTCCTTGGTGGTTTTTGTCACTATACCAGGAAAAGCAAAGCTGGGATTTAAATCTGGGCAGCCTGATTCTGTGCTCAGACCACAACTTTTAACAGAAGGCACAAGATGGATCCCCTTTACTTCATCTTTTTTTTTTTTTGGTACTGGGGACTAAATCCAGGGGCTTTTACCCCTGAGCTACTCCCCCAGCCCTTTTGAGACAGGGTCACACTAAGCTGCTTAGGGCCTCCCTAAGTTGCTGCAGAGACCCAGACAGTCCTCACCTGTGAGATAGCCTAGTCCCCTTGTCTATCCCCTGCCTCCAAGTGCTATCCCAGAGAGAAGCCCCAGGATACCTTTGTGCTGGGCCAACTTCCAGGAGTGAGTTAGGAGGTAGGAAGTGACTGAAGTAATATCTACTCTACTCTCATCCCCACCAAACTCGTGATCCTCCTGCCTCAGCCTCCCAAGTCGCTGGGATTACAGGCGTGTACCACTATTCCTGGATCCTTTACTTCACTTTTAAATTTTAGTTTTAACCTTTTTATTATGAACATTTTCAAATATATACAAACTCAGCGTGCTTGACTGAAAGCAGTGAACTTCTGTGCACTCATTTCTATTTCATGTCCTACTTCCTGAAACTCCCCCTTCCAGAAGTTTCCAAAACATTTAACTTGTTCCTACCAACCTTCTGGCCACTGCTCAGTTTCTTTGTAAATTTTTTATCAACTCTCCAAAGGCTTCTTGTACTCCATTCTTGCATGCTCTCTTTCCTCCTGCAAGAACCCAGCATGTGGTACAGAATCATCAATGACATTCTCTCATTAGCAGAGAGACATGAAGCAACCAGAAAAAATGATTATGGAGTAATAGACTTGAACTTCAGGTCTGCTATCTTCAGCCATATGACTTGCACAAGTCACTTTACCTTTGTGGGACTCAGTTTCCTTTTCTGTGAAGTGAGGATCATGTGAGATAATCTATATAAAGGGTTTTAGGAGGTTTTTCTGAGGTTATGTATATAAAGCATGTAATAAATACTAGTTACCTCTCCCCTCTGATTGACTGATAGCTTCATAGAAACAGGAATGAGCTCTAATTTTGCCTGTATTCCTAGTACCTAAAACAGAGCCTGGCAGAAGGTGGGCATCCAATACAAGTTTATGAAGTAATGAAGTATGAGACAATCTGGAGGGTGTATTGGTAGGGGAAAGGGTTTGTTTGGGACTAGGGGAGGGTTAAGCTGTGTGTTACTGAACAATAATGTATCATGTGGCATTGAGATAGAATGCTCAAGCTACATGTGTCAGCGATGGATGGTGAGTTGAGTGAAGTTGTTGGGCTGGAAAGTGGGGGGCTGAACAGACTGCTTTGAGCTGGGCTCATCCACTGGTTACATCTCTGATCCTTCATCCCTGTAGTGTGCCCCAGGCTACAATGGACAGAACTGTTCAAAGGAAATTGATGCTTGTCAGTCCCAACCCTGTCACAACCATGGAACCTGCACCCCCATACTTGGAGGCTTCAACTGTGCCTGCCCTCCAGGTTTTGTGGGTCTGCGCTGTGAGGGGGATGTGGATGAGTGTCTAGACAAGCCTTGTCACCCGACAGGCACCGCGGCCTGCCACTCTCTAGCCAATGCCTTCTACTGCCAGTGTCTACCTGGACATACAGGTGAGGCCTTGGTGTGTATGTGGTGGGGGGGTGAAGACATCTAAGCAGACCACGGAGACCTAGACAGTCCTCACCTATGAGACAGCCTAGTCCCCTTGTCTATCCCCTGCCTCCATGTGCTATCCCAGAGAAGATGCTCCAGGATCCTTTTGTGCTGGGCCAACTTCCAGGAGTAAGGAGGTAGGCAGTGACTGAAGCAATATCTAGTCTCGTCCCCATCACAGGCCAGTGGTGTGAGGTGGAGATAGACCCCTGCCAGAGCCAGCCCTGCTCCCATGGAGGATCCTGTGAGGTCACCGCAGGACCACCCCGGGGTTTCACCTGCCACTGTCCCCAGGTAAAAGACCACAAAGCTGCCTTCTCTATTGCCTTCTATACTGATAAAAGGTGAGAATGCCTGAGCTGGAATCCTAGAGGGGAGCATAGGAGATCATCAAAGTGTGACTTATTGGAAGGAGCCATCTTAAATTCCCAGCAGTAAGTGGCTCTCAGAAGCAGTCAGGGGAAAGGAGTCAGGGAAAAGGTAGGATCATGAAGGGAATGTTCAGAAACCATAGGCATTGCCTAAGATCAAAAGCTCCTGGATAAGTTACTTTAACTCTGTGTGTGGATCCCTGATGCATGGGATTGGATTAATAGTAAGCCATGATTCATGATACACTCATCATTGGTTTGTGCCTAATCCTTTTTCCCCCTCCTCGGAGGTACTGGGGATCGAACCCACGGCCTTGTGCATGCAAGGCAAGCACTCTACCAACTGAGCTATATTCCCAGCCCCTGTACCTGACCTTTTATTTTAGTGTTTTAACAATATTACATCCATGAACCTAACCCCAAAAGTTCAATATTAATAACTTACTTCTACTTATGTTCCCTTCCTTGGAGAAAGAGGAAGGCATATGATCCTGTCTCCAAAAGGATGAACATAAGAATATAATAGAATTCAATTCTATTAAGAATTTATTAAGACTTTGTAGTCTTTCAGGACTTTTATTATAATGGCAAAGTTCATCCATTTTTGCAACAATGTCCTGTCATTGCATGAAATTATCATGCAACATGGTTCCAAATCCATAAAATGATGAACTTGATGAGAGTCTAGGACCCTCTCTGCACTAATCTAACCCAGAGTTTTCTTGGGGGAGTGGGAATAATAATATAAGGTCCTTCCCCAATGTCTTCCCCCTATACAGGGTTTTGAAGGCCCCACCTGCAGCCACAGAGTTCCTTCCTGCGGCATCTATCACTGTCACCATGGAGGCCTGTGTCTGCCCTCCCCTAAGCCAGGATTCCCACCCCGCTGTGCCTGCCTCAATGGCTTTGAGGGTCCTGACTGCCTGACTCCACCAGCTCCTCAGGGCTGTGGCCCCCCCTCCCCATGCCTACACAATGGCAGCTGCTCAGAGACCCCTGGGTTGGGGGGCCCAGGCTTTCGATGCTCCTGCCCTCCTGACTCTCCGGGGCCCAGATGTCAGAGGCCCGGAGCAAAAGGGTGTGAAGGCAGAAGTGGAGATGGGGCCTGTGACACTGGCTGCAGTGGCCCAGGAGGAAACTGGGATGGTGGGGACTGCTCCCTGGGGGTCCCAGACCCCTGGAAAGGCTGCCCCTCCCATTCCCGGTGCTGGCTTCTCTTCCGGGATGGACAGTGCCACCCACAGTGTGACTCAGAAGAATGTCTGTTTGATGGCTACGACTGCGAGCCCCCTCCATCCTGCACGTGAGCCTAGAGCCCACTGTGGCTGGGGTATAAGGGGATGAGAGAGTGAGACATAGATGTCTGAGTTACAGGGTGACCATAGTCTCAGGCTCCAGGGAATTTCCACCCTAATAACCATTGCTAAGTAGGGCTTGAAGACTCTGGACTCCAACCTAGAATAATGGGATGGCATCAACACTTTATGTGGGACACAACCTCTTTCTAGGCTCCTCTCTAGTCCTTTCTAGTTCTGGGGCTTGGTCCTCAAGCTTGCCTTCTTAATTCATGTTGCCATGGAATCTCTCTCTAGCAACCAGCATCCCTGAGGGAAAACGGCTCTCCTTCAGGGAAAAGGGCTCTCCTTCAGGGAAAAAGAGCTTGGGAGAGCAGGGAAAGGACGGTCTCAGGAGAGGATGTCAGGGTGTTTGGGCCACCATCCAGGGATGCACAGCTACCCCCACTTAGCAACCAAAGGGCTATGGAATGTCAGGAATTTCCTCTGGGGAAAGAGGGGTGTCAGGTTTTAGGGGGTCCTCAGTTCCCCTCTTCTCACCCTACAGTCCAGCCTATGACCAGTACTGCCGGGACCACTTCCACAATGGGCACTGTGAGAAAGGCTGCAACACCGCAGAATGTGGCTGGGATGGGGGCGACTGCAGACCTGAAGATGGGGACTTGGAGTGGGGGCCCTCCCTGGCCCTGCTGGTGGTGCTGAGCCCAACTGCCCTGGACCAGCAGCTACTTGCTCTGGCCCGCGTGCTGTCCCTGACTCTGAGGGTGGGGCTCTGGGTGAGGAAGGATAGTAATGGCAGAGACATGGTGTTCCCCTATCCTGGGGCCCGGGCAGAAGAAGAGCTAAGAGGAACCCATGACCCCTCACATGCAGAGGAAGCAGACCCTGATATGCAGCTCCTAGGCAAGGAGAAGGACTCCCTCGGTGCTGGGTAAGAAGTGGATGGAGGGAAGTCCAGATACTAGTTTGTTTTCCCATGGGCAGAGGGTTGGGAGCCAAGTTACTGACACACGTCTCTAACATGCCTCCCCTACAGGTTTGTGGTGGTGATGGGTGTAGATTTGTCCCACTGTGGCCCTGACCATCCAGCATCCCGTTGTCCCTGGGACTCAGGACTCCTGCTTCGCTTCCTTGCAGCAATGGCTGCAGTGGGAGCCCTAGAGCCCCTGCTGCCTGCACCCCTGCTGGCTGCCCACCCTCACACAGGCTCTGGTAGGTGACACCCGCCACTTCTCCTGACCTTTGTGCTCATGTCAGTAATAGGCAAGAGATAAAACAAAACAGGATAGCTGAAACCAAAAATATTTTGTGGGAACTTGCCCTCCTTTTAACAACTCTTTACCTGGTTCTCCTCACAGCCTATTGGTTCTGTAAGTACTTTCTAACCTCTGACATAGCCCTCCAAGAAACCTCAGGTTCTAATTTAACTTCTTTACTAGATGTGGGTACCCAGTCATCTTTGTATTAAATAGTTCGTAGTATATGAAAGAATAACAACTGTTATATCATGCTTACTATGTGTGTTGCTCTAGCATTTTACTGTTAACTCGTTTAACCCCAAGAGGCAGGTATTATGTCCATTTCACAGATGAGGAAACTGAGGCAGAGAAATATTGTTGTACTTGCCCATGAGTAGAACTAGTCCCACCAGGAATGACCTCCTTGTCACTGTATCTCTCCACTAGCACCCACCAAACAGCTTCCCTGGACCTTGCTGTGCTTGCCAGTTGCTGGGGTGCTTCTCCTGGCCCTGGGGGCTCTTCTTGTCCTTCAGCTCATCCGACGTCGACGCCGAGAGCATGGGGCCCTCTGGCTGCCTCCTGGCTTCACTCGAAGGCCTAGAACTCAGCAGACTCCCCGAAGACGCAGGCCCCCACTGGGCGAGGACAGCATTGGCCTCAAGTGAGAATGAGGAGGAACTCAGGCTCAGGAAGGGGAATCTGTCCGTGGAGATATTTATGGTCAAAGCAATAAGAAATGCTATTGCAAAAGTTGAAAACAGAGAAAGATGAGGGGCAGGAAGGCTGCTGGAAATCTTGGAGACTCTTATTGGTCCTAACTTGTGTAACCTGTACCCAACTCACTTCCTTCCAGGGAACTGAAGCCAGAGGCAGAAGTGGAAGAGGATGGAGTGGTGATGTGCTCAGGCCCTGAGGAGGAAGAAGAGGTGAACCAGGTGAAAGGGCTAGGGCAGAAATAGTATGGAGTTGATAGAATAAAGAACAAGTCAATGGCCTTCACTGATTCTTGCTTTTGCCCCAAGGCTGAAGAAATGGCCCCACCCTCCAAGTGCCAATTGTGGCCACTGAGTGGTGGCTGTGGGGAGCTCCCTCAGGTGGCCATGCTGACTCCTCCTCAGGAATCAGAGATTGATGTGAATGCCTGTGGACCAGGTATGAACCAACCCAGACCAAGAAAATGAAAAAATGCTTTTTAATCCTTTTAAAAGCAGAAAAGTCCTTTAGTGTCAGAACTGGAGGAACTAATGTTGGAATGAGTGCCTTAGAATAGTGATTCTCAAAGTATGGTCCTCAAAATGCAGCATCACCTTGGAATTTGTTAGAAATGCAAATTATCAGGATCCACTACAAAGCTATTGACTCTGAAATTGAGATATTGAGCAATATGTGTTTTAACAAGCCTTCTAGGGGAGTCTGATTCAGACTCAAGTTTGAGAATCACTGCCCTAGAATGTTAAGAGAATTAAGGCCTTCTTATTTTTATAGGTGAGGAAACTGAAGCTCAAAGTAGGAAAGTCATTTAAACACAAAATCAAAAGCCAGAGCCTAGCTTCCTCATATCTCTTCTTGTGATTCTCCCTAAGATCCTCCTCCTGTGTCCTTTTGATGGACCCATTACTCATTCTCACCCACAGATGGGGTTACACCCCTGATGTCTGCAGTCTGCTGTGGGAGAGTGGAGTCCAGGACCTTTCAGGGAGCATGGTTGGGAAGTCCTGAGCCCTGGGAACTTCTGCTGGATGGAGGGGCCTGTCCCCAGGCTCACACAGTGGGCACTGGGGAGACCCCTCTGCACCTAGCTGCCCGTTTCTCCAGACCAACTGCTGCCCGCCGCCTCCTTGAGGCTGGAGCCAACCCCAACCAGCCAGACCAGGCAGGGCGTACTCCACTTCATGCTGCTGTAGCTGCTGATGCACGGGAGGTCTGCCAGGTAAGCATACACTGGGGTCCTCAAAGGGAAAAGGGTGATCTTACAAGTTACACTGGGTAGAAGCATTCTCTAGTGTTTGACATAAGAAATTGATGTGAGATTGAGGACCTGAAACAAGGAAGATGGTTGTATATGGATTGGTAAAAGGGTTAAAAGTATGAGGGACCTGAGTTAACAGTCCAGAGTACCCCAGAGGTCACAGCTTCTGTCCTTACAGCTCCTACTGGGCAGCAGACAGACTGCAGTGGACGCATGTACAGAGGACGGGACCACACCCTTGATGCTGGCGGCCAGGCTGGCGGTGGAAGACCTGGTTGAAGAACTGATTGCAGCCCAAGCAGATGTCGGAGCCAGAGATAAATGGGGTGTGGAAGGGCGGGGGTAATGTCATGCCACAGAGTTAAGCAGACTGGGGCGTAATATGAGGTGCAAAATATAGGGGCAGCAGAGAAGGGCTGCAGCAGTTGGAGGGCATACCCCTGCCCCTCCATCTGGTGGTAAAACTGCTGCTGTACGGTGACAGTACGGAGTAGCTGAGTTTCTCCCATAATTCTCAAACACACACACACACACACACACACACACACCGTCCAAACCCACGGGAAACTGGGATAAGGGAGAATGTCTGTGGGGAGGAGAGGGAGGTCTCCCGGTCCCACCGACCCCAGAACAATACCCATTGTCCCTCCAGTGCGCCAGTGACGTCACCAAGGCAACGCTTCCTGCTGGCTGGCGGTCGCCAGGGCAACGCTTCCCGCCTTTGAGGGGCTTAGAAGCCCTCCCCCCAAGGCTAGAATCCGTGGGAAACAGGAACCCAGGCTCATGGTCCCCAGCTGCTACGTTAACACCCTCCCCTTGTCCTCTAGGAAAAACTGCACTGCACTGGGCTGCTGCTGTAAACAACGCCCGAGCCGCCCGCTCCCTTCTACAAGCTGGAGCCGATAAAGATGCCCAGGACAGCAGGGTCAGAACGGGTATCTGGCTGCCCATATTTCAAAAAGAGGAAAGGACCAGTGATTTGGAAAGCGCGGGAACCCCAGAAAACCTGAAGCGGGAGGGGCCAGTAACCAAGCCGTTGGAGCCTGGTAGGACTCGTTCTGTGGGCGTGGCCTTCCCTGACCTCACCCCCTGGCTGTTTCCTTCCGGACAGGAGCAGACGCCGCTGTTCCTGGCTGCCCGGGAAGGAGCGATGGAGGTAGCCCAGCTTCTGCTGGGACTGGGGGCTGCCCGAGGGCTGCGGGACCAGGCTGGGCTAGCGCCCAGCGACATCGCACGCCAGCGTAACCACTGGGATCTGCTGACACTACTGGAAGGGGCGGGACCACCAGAGGCACGTCACAAAGCGACGCCGAGCCGCGAGACTGGGGCCTTCCCGCGCGCGCGGACCGCGTCAGGAAGCGTGCCTGCGCATGGAGGCGGCGCCGTCCCGCGCTGCCGGACGCTGTCAGCCGGAGCGGGCCCGCGTGGAGGCGGAGCTTGCCTGCAATCTCGGACTTTGTCCGTAGACTTGGCCGCTCGCGGGGCCAGGGCCTATCCTCATTGCCGGAGCCTGTCGGGAGGAGGAGCAGGAGGGGGCCCGCCGTCCCGCAGCCGTAGATTTTCTGCAGGCATGCGTGGGTCTCGGCCCAACCCTGCAGTAGTTCGGGGAAAATCAGGAGTTGTGGCCGCCCGCGGGGGCAGGACAGTAGCGGATGATTGGCCCTGTGATTGGGTAACCCTGGAGACCTGCGGCCCCTCCCCCAATATTCCGATCCCGCCTCCTTGCCTCACTCCTTCCCCAGAGCGGGGATCCCCTCAAGTTGTCTGGGGTCTCCCAGTTGAGCAAGTCATTCCCTTAAACTCCGAAGGAGAGGGTCAGAAATAGAAGGATAGTAAGGAGAGGGGAATCCTAAAAATGATTAAATGACTGGGTGTCTGGAAGGCCTGCCAGACTTTAAAATTAAGGCCCAAAAGTAGAGGGGGTAGTTTCCCTCCCAAAATGAGTGAATGCCCACCTCAACAGGCATGGTATTCCACGTAGAGAAGCTAAAGCACTAAAGATTTAGGATGCTGGGATGAGGCAGGCCCAGGTCGTCATCTAGAAAATAAACATGAGAGGCTACAAGAGGACAAAGTTCATGGAGAGAACTACCCCTAAACCAGAACTAGGAACTGCGGGCAGATGTTCCGCGTTCCCCCACCCCCACGCTGTGGTCAACAAATAGCTAAAACTTATAGAGCACCTACTGTGTGCCAGGCACTGTGTGGATGCTGAAAGGTAGCTAGTCCAGCTGATGACTCCTTGCTCGCCCTGACCCCATCAAAGAAACTCCATGCAGGGATGAAGCGCCTCCCTTCTAGTCACTGCCATCTCTAGTGAACCCCAAATCTCACTAGTAATAAAGCTGATTTAAAGCATTAAATTTTTTTGTGATGGGTTGTGGAGTGGAATGGGAAATAATGGAGCTTCTGCATAGTGTTGGGGATTTAGTGCCCCAGGCTCAACATTTGGATCGGAACTTTAAATACAGTTTAAGAGCAAGAGTAAGTACAGTCCCATGTTCATTTTGGATGTAATCTGAAAGCAAGAATTTCTAGTAGCCCAAGGAGAATACATACATACTAGGCCATGTACACCCCCTGTCCCTCACCAAGTGCATTTAGTTATACCTGCTTAGGAGATTCCTAAGGCCTCAAGTAGAGGAAGATGGAGAGAGAACATCTTAAAGGAACCAACCACCTTTCAGCAACATGATTACACCTCGTTGATACTGATAAGCCTGAGATGTGGAGGCCTGAGAAATTTTGAAAGCTAATAATTACCATTTATTGAACATTCACTATGGGTCAAGTGCTGTATCACAATCTTCACATCAATATATAAGGTAGGTGCTATGAAAGCCCCATTTTACTCTCAAAATCTGAGGCACAAAAGATTTTGTTTATCCACAATTGCAAGGTATTAAGTGGCATATCCAGATCTCTTTATCACATTTCATGGTCCCATCCACTCAGCTGTGGCCAGGTAGCCATTTAAAGATCCCAAAGGTCTACCCTGTTCCCTCCTCGATATCATCCAGTCCAACATCAATCGAAGGCCAAGCCAGGAAAGTTGTCCTCTCTCCATTTCTAGATCCCTCATTCATGACCTAACATTTTCTCCTGCCCCTTATCTGCATTAAGCTGCAAATTGCCAGAATGAAACCTGTTTCTATTTTTCTCACATTTGATGCACTTTTAGGGGAGGGGGCGAGGGGTGAGGGTACCAAGGATTGAACCCAGGGGCACTTAACCACTGAACCATACACCCAGCCCTTTATTTATTTGAGACAGGGTCTTGCTAAGTTGCATAGGGCCTCACTGAGTTGCTGAGGCTGGCCTCAAACTTGTGATCCTCCTGCCTTGCTAGGATTATAGGCATGAGCCACTGCACCCTTAACCCTTAAGAGCTAAACATCTAGTGGGCAGGAATAATTATTCAATCCTAAATTCTTTTAAAAAATATTTTTAGTTGTAGATGGACACAATATCTTTATTTAGTTTTTTATGTGGTGCTGGGTATCGAACCTCACAAATACTAGGCAAGTGCTCTACCACTGAGCTACAATCCCAGCCCTCAGCCCATAATTCTTGAGTAACTATTGCATGTGGGAACCAGTACTAGGGATACATGTGTACACACACACACACACACACACACACACACACTGCTCTGAGTGCTCTGCTTTCCACTGGAACCATGTGCCTCCTAATCCCAATAAGTCTGAGGGGAGTTGGGAAGGGCCAAATCCTAGGTCTGTTTTAGGAAGGAAAAGGACCTGGTTTGGGGGAGGGGGATCCTGAAGAGTGAAACCACACTTCCTGTATAGCTAGTTCCTGTGTTGACAGAAAGAGCTGGGGGGGGGGGGCAGTGAAGGGAGCTAAATTGGGGGTTGGGAGGCTACTGAGGCTCTGGAGAGAAGACCAAAGTCTCCCTCTCCACCCTAGAAACGTCTCCACTCCTGCAGCTGGAGGAGTTGTTCCCAGTCTTTATGCTCCCCTGGGGAGAGGGGTCAAACAAACTGTTTGGGTGGGAAAAGAGAATGGAGGAAGTTGACATGGATGGGCGGGGCCGTGGGGGGGCTGACCAGGAACCCAGCTTCCTGCTCAGTGCCCAGGCATCCATCCCCCAGCTCACCCCCACCCCTTCCAGCCCCCACTCCCCTCAGGAACCCAAGGTTCCGGCCCTCCTCCCAAATCCCAGTCACCCCTCCCCCATCAGTTTCTCCCCGAAAGGGGATGGAGGCTGAGAGACCCCAGGAAGAAGATGGTGAGCAGGTGAGCTGGGCACTAAGTGGGGAGGCTAACTCTGTCGAGAGAGAAATGCAAGGACCCAGAGTAAAGATCTAGTGATTGTGGACCTAAAGGACTTGAAAAGGCTTGGGCACCCTAAGGCAGGAACAGAAACACAGGAAATGGGACACTGACCTATCCCTCTGCCCACCCTACTCCCTCCACCTACCGGGGCTTGACTGGAATGTATGTCTCTTGGCATCAGGGACCCCCTGAAGAAGAGCTGGGCTGGCCCCCTCTGAACTCCACCATTCGGCCTTGGCGATCTGCTCCTCCATCCCCTCCTCCTGGAACCCGCCACACAGGTACCCCAACGCACCCAGGGAACCCCCTGACCCTGGTGCCCACATTCTGACTCCATCCCTACCTCTCCAGACTCCCCATCACACCCCCATGGCTCTGACCCAAAGTCCCTAGTCACTTCACCCTCACCATCCCCCACTGCTCCAATCCACCAACTTCTCTGAGTCTCTGAGCCCTCCTCCCTCCTCTCCCCAGCCATGGGGCCCCGTTCGGCCTCCCTGCTTTCCCTGCAGACTGAACTCCTTCTGGACCTGGTGGCTGAGGCCCAGTCCCGCCGCTTAGAGGAGCAGAGGGCCACCTTCCGAGCCCCTCAGAATCCTTCAAGCCTAGCTCCAGTCCCACCTCGGCCTCTCGAGGACAGAGAGCAGCTCTACAGCACCATCCTCAGTCACCAGGTAAGACACCCCCAGAAGGTCTGGTCTCTTGGCCCCTGTCCTGTTAGGATCTACTCCTCTTTGTCCCTAGACATCTGCCCCATACCCAGTCCCCAGTCCCCCCATCCCCATCATAGGCTTCCGATCTGCTCCCCCGACCCCACCAAGCCAGCCTTTGCTCCTCTCAAGGATACCTACCCCCCAGTCTTTACCAATGCTTTCTCCCTCCACTCCTCCAGTGCCAGCGCATGGAAGCCCAGCGATCAGAGCCTCCCCTCCCACCAGGGGGGCAAGAGCTCCTGGAGTTGCTGCTGAGAGTTCAGGGTGGGGGTCGAATGGAGGAGCAAAGATCCCGGCCCCCCACACACACCTGCTGAGACTTGAGTCTCCAACTAGCCCCTCCTTCCTCCTGGGGCTCAAAGCTGGGCAGCCAATGTATGCCCTCAACCTTGCCTGGCATGGGTACCAGAGACTGGAAGACCCAGCAGAAATTACAGTGATCACCACCCTCAGCACTTTCCCTGGGAACTGGAGGGGGTGAAAGTCCTCAAATCCTGGGAATAGGCAAGGTAGGATGGTCATTGAACTTCCTCAAGTATTCTGGAGCTTGAGGCTGTAAGAGGATCCCAGCCATCAATCTCAGGCAGTAACTGGGAGTCCCTGTCCTGAGCTATCCAGCTACTAGGCAGGGTGTGAGGGCTCAGGCCTTTCCCTCTCAAGGCAAGTCTCCTAAGGTTATCACTTGATAGACAGCTCTACCCTCCTTCCCCATAGGAAGAAAGGGAGGGTGGGCACAGTATAGAAAGATCAAGAGTATTTTCTCATCCCTGCCTTGAGCACCATCTAGCACCCAACACAGAGGGCCTAGCAGCTGTGAATGGACCTTTAGCCTGCCCACCCTCCCTCCCCACTGCTGCTGAGTTTGTCTGATGTTTTGATTGTATAAATAAATGTAATTCCCCTCTGGACTGAAGATTGATGTCTGCGGGGTGGGAGGGTGGAGAATAGGAAGGTGAGGCCAGAGGCGGCCTCTTTCCCCAGTCTGGCCAGAGGCCAGCTCCCCTCCCTAGCTGGTTAATTACTGGCTCATTAAGCAGCGGCTGGAGACCTCCCTAATTATCTCCCCCAGCCCCCCTCTCCTGGTTTTAATTAAGTAGAACAGGGAGGGGAGTCATTAGAACAAGAAATATGAACTGAGCTGCCTGTGAACCCGGGCATTCCAGCGGCTAGAGTCGGTGTCACCTAGGGTGGAGACTCAGAACCCAGGAGGTGGACACCCCAGCCCCCAGCACGCCCCCCTCCCCGGCCACGGAAGTCCAGCCCCCGGGCCTTCCCTTAGTGCCCCGAAGTGCCAGTCTCCTCCCCTCGTCCCATCTTCCCTCTCCCCTCCTCCACTCGGTCTCAGTTCCTCTGTTTCAGTGTGTCTCTCTCCGCCCCCGGCTCCTCCCTGTTCCTCCTCTCTTCTCCCCTCCTCTTCCTCCCGGGTTCCCCTCCCCCAGCCTCCCTCCCTCGCTCCCCCCTTCTCCCTCCTCCCTCCTCCCTCTCTCTCACACACACCCCCGCCTGGGCCTCCTCTCTCTCTCCGGCTCCATTTTCTCCGCCGCCGGGGGCCGGGGTCTCCTGTGGGGGGCCCAGCCGGTACCCCAGGTCTCCCTTCAGTGCCGGGGTGAACCCCCGGGGGAGCGAGGAGAGGGGGAGACGGGCGGGGGTTGGGGCGGAGGGAGCAGCGGCCCCAGCGAGTTTGGGGGGGAAGTAACCAGGCGGGGGGAGGGGCGGAGCAGGGAGGGGGCCTCAGGGCCCCCCCCAGCTATGGACGAGCGGCTACTGGGGCCGCCCCCTCCAGGCGGAGGCCGGGGGGGCCTGGGATTGGTGGGTGGGGAACCTGGGGGCCCTGGCGAGCCTCCCGGTGGCGGAGACCCCGGTGGGGGTAGCGGGGGGGTCCCGGGAGGCCGAGGGAAGCAAGACATCGGGGACATTCTGCAGCAGATAATGACCATCACCGACCAGAGCCTGGACGAGGCCCAGGCCAAGTGAGTGCCCCCACCCCGGGACCCCACACAGACCCACAGGACCCCATTCACAAGCTGAGTCTTCTGGGAGCCCCCCCCCAACTCCAGGGCCCTCTCAGGATCCTACAGCTCTCTTCTCTCCCGTAGCCTGGGATCCCTGAGCGAAGTGATCTCTTTCAAAACCTCCTTTCACCCCCAGGCCCTGAAACCTCCAGAGGGAAGCCCAGGTGGTCTCCCCCTCCTAACCTTTTGCTGACCCCCCACACTCATCCCTTGTCATCTCCGGAGCCCCCTTCTGGCTCCCAGACTCACAAACTGTTCTTAGACCATGCTGTTTCCTCCCCTAACTCTCCACCCAGCCTGCCCCATTCTCTCCAGATCTGGGACCTCAACACCCCTTCCCAAAGGTCCTGACAGTCCTCTCCAACCCATGGCCCCAGCCTCCAAGGGTCCTCACCTACCCTTCTCCCTCCCTTAGCCCCAGGACCTTTCTAGATACCTTATACCGAACTCCTCCCTTACCTGGGCACCCCCAACCCCTCTCTGCCACCTCAAAATTCTGATCCTTCTCCCCTTTAGCATCCATCCCTTTTTCTGAAATCTACCTAGTCACTCTCATTTTTCCAGTTTCCCCCAAATCCCTTCTTCACAGCTTTTCGTGACCAACTCCCAAAGTCCCCAGCCCACCATGGTGCCTTTTGCCTTCTGCCAATATCTGCTAATAAGCTGAATAGCTTTCCCATGTTCAGAAGCTGATTGCTACCCAGGAACCATCCCCCAACTCTGCTTTCTTCCTCTGCAGATTTCCTCTTCTCTCTCCTTGCCCTCTCACACTGCTATGGTTCCCTTGCTGTTTAGCTCCTCAACTTTTCTTTCTCTACTCCCATTCTTCCTAAGGAAACACGCCCTAAACTGCCACAGAATGAAGCCTGCTCTCTTTAGTGTCCTGTGTGAAATCAAGGAAAAAACTGGTATGTGGGGGTCTCCCTCTTGAATCCTCAACTCTGGGGACAGCCATGTTTACTATGGGGCTGAGTTTGACAACTTGGGACCCTGAGGAAAGGTATTGCTAAGAGAGACTGGGGAAGGAACCAAAGCCTGTAGACTTGGGTTTACAGGAGGCAACAGGAAGACTGAACTTTGGGTAAGGGGTGTCGTGTCCCTAAGTCTACTTACCTGCATGCTAGGCCTCAGCATTCGAAGCTCCCAAGAGGAGGAGCCAGTGGACCCACAGCTGATGCGCTTGGACAACATGCTTCTGGCAGAGGGTGTGGCTGGGCCTGAGAAGGGGGGAGGCTCAGCTGCAGCCGCTGCAGCCGCAGCAGCCTCTGGGGGTGGTGTGTCCCCTGACAATTCCATCGAACACTCGGACTATCGAAGCAAGCTTGCCCAGATCCGCCACATCTACCACTCAGAGCTGGAGAAGTATGAGCAGGTGAGGAGAGGAAGCTAGGGTGGGTGGAGGAGGCAGCTCTTTGGAGGGAATACTAAAGCCAAAGGGCTTCTCACCAGCCCACCTGTTCCCCACTACAGGCATGTAACGAGTTTACAACCCATGTCATGAACCTGCTGAGGGAGCAGAGCCGCACGCGGCCCGTAGCACCCAAGGAAATGGAGCGCATGGTGAGCATCATTCATCGAAAGTTCAGCGCCATCCAGATGCAGCTCAAGCAGAGTACCTGTGAGGCCGTCATGATCCTTCGTTCCCGTTTCTTGGATGCCAGGTGGGGACCAAGGACTAAGACCAGCCCCCAGTACCAGGCTCTTTCCCATTTCTCTCCAAGACCCTGAGCCACCATGTTGCATAACATGGTACTCCACACAATGATGCCCCCTAGAGTCCCACAGTATGGCTGCCAGGATGCTAACATCCTCGCTACTCTTCTCCATCCTTTGTAGACGGAAACGCCGTAACTTCAGCAAACAGGCCACTGAAGTCCTAAATGAGTATTTCTACTCCCACCTGAGTAACCCATATCCTAGTGAAGAGGCTAAGGAGGAGCTTGCCAAGAAGTGTGGCATCACTGTCTCTCAGGTAATGTGGGAGTTTGGGAAGGAGTCTTTGGGCAGAAAGCTCTCAGATCCTACTCAATGAGGGGTTTCCACCTGACTCTCTTTGCCCACCATCCCACAGGTCTCCAATTGGTTTGGTAATAAGCGAATTCGGTATAAGAAAAATATTGGAAAATTCCAAGAAGAGGCAAACATCTACGCTGTCAAGACTGCCGTATCAGTCACCCAAGGGGGCCACAGCCGCACAAGCTCCCCAACACCCCCTTCCTCTGCAGGTGGAGCTCACTGCCACCCTGGCTGTTTTACATACTTCCTGCTTTTGTTCCCACTTCCTATCTAGGCATGATCCTATCAGAGAATTTTGGGGGTTGAGAGGGACCAAGCTGAAATGGGGTGGTAATGTCAGTGGACATAGGCCATTCCAATGAAGTTGCTTCAGCCTTTCTTCCAGTGGGTGGCCAGGGAAGGCTTTGGAATCTATTCTGAGTGCTGGAATGTTGTTTTGTGGATAATTTGTATACAGCTATACATATGTCCCTACAGAGCTAATTTAGAGGGCTTTCTGGAACCTGAGAGTTGTGTTCATCTCCTGTCTGCCACCACAGACTCCATTATACTCTTCTCTAATTCCCTCTTTACTCCTCCAAGGCTCTGGCGGTTCTTTCAATCTCTCAGGATCCGGAGACATGTTTCTGGGGATGCCTGGGCTCAACGGAGATTCCTATTCTGCTTCCCAGGTCAGGTGCCCTATCTCCTTGAGTGGGACTTTCCCAAACTCTTGTTTCTCCTCTTTAGGGTACAAGACATCCTCTGAGGCTTCTTTTCACTGTTTTACCTTCCTCTGCTGCCTGCAGGTGGAATCACTCCGACACTCCATGGGGCCAGGAGGCTATGGGGATAACCTTGGAGGAGGCCAGATGTACAGCCCTCGGGAAATGAGGGTGAGTGGATACTCAACTCACTCTCACTCGCTCTTACCATGTTGGGAGGGCCTTTCCCCAAGCAGTGTTGTCCACCCCACCTCCACAGAATTTTCCAGGACCCTATTACTACTGTCTTTCTCCCTTTTTCCAGGCAAATGGCGGCTGGCAGGAAGCTGTGACCCCATCTTCAGTGACATCCCCCACAGAGGGACCAGGGAGTGTTCACTCTGACACCTCCAACTGATCTTGCCCCTCAGGATCACGGGGGGTGGGGGCTCTCATAAGGCGACTCTTGAAGAGGACGCAGGCATCCAGAGGACAAACCCCTAACAGGAGAAGCACAAGAAAGAGAAGGGCGAATGGGGTCAACCCTCCCCAATTAGACTCTCAGTGCTGGGGGTGCTGACTACATGGCAGGGAGAATGGGGCCCTTTAGGGGAGTGGGGTCTATCTCCTCCTTTTTTCCTTTTTTGTCTTTTCCCCCTTTTCTCTTACACAGCAAATCAGACACCTATTTCTCAGACCCCTTTTTCTCACCCCCGCCATACACATTCACATACAACTATTCTGTTTCTGTGTACTCCCCCACTTACCCTCCCCACCCTGCTAATATGCTCTGGAATCTGGAGATGTCAGCCCTGCCCGACCCAGAGATGCCAAAAATGGGGACTCGACTTCTGGACAAATGACATGGGCCACGCCCCCTGTGCATCCCCACCCCCTTCCCCTCCAGACGGCTTTATTACCTCATATGCAGCTCATCTTAAACCAATAGAATCGCTCGGTGGACGAGAGTGTCTGACTCAGATATCTACCTCGGAGGGAGTTTCTGCTACTTTAGGGAATTGTTGACTGGGCTTTGGGATTTTTGTTGTTGTTGTTTTTTGTTTTTGTTTTTAAAGAAACGAAACCCTGGGATCCATCTGTATCGTCTTTTATTTTTATTTTTATTTTTTGGTGGTGGTGGTGGTGGTGGTGGCTCTTAATTTTTTAGTATGGGGAAGTAGTTTTGTTTTCTTTTTTAAAATAAACATACTTTTTTAATATAATTTCTTGCTTTCCCATATTAGAGGTGATAGCCAAAGGGGTCTCCATAAGAGGGGAACCAACAATACTAGTGAAGAAGCCCACCTGGCTCTATGCCTGTTCATCAGAAAGTGAATTTTACAGAACACCAAGCCCTTCCCTCTAAAATCACTTAGGTGTTCTTTGCTTATGCAGGCAGTTTCTGTTGTATTTGGAGCAGAGGCAGTAAGGGGTTTGCCTTGCTGGCCCCCTATATCCAACCCCCTTCCCACAACCCTTGGGCGGGCTAAACTCAACAATTGAAGAAATTGAAGTTGCCACCTTCCCCATGTGACACATCTTTTAATTAAATCTTTTTTTTTTTCTTTAATTGTCATTTGCAGATTGGAGGATAAAGAACAGAGAGGGGATTCTTGCCAAATATGTTAAATATGGGTTGGGTGCTTATATATGTATTTCCCTCAGTTTCCCCCAAAATGAGGTATCTTTTTCTCACCAAAATTAAGGGGGTGGGGAGAGGTGGGAGGTTGCAAAAATCCAGGTATGGGGGAAGAAAAAACACTGTCCCATCCTTGGCCCTGAATCCTACTATCTAATCCCCTCAAACATCCTCAGGATTTTACAAGACTGTCAAGAGTGGGGAACCCCTCCCATTAAAGATCCTAGCAGGATTGGGGAACAGGTTGGGAGTGTGATGGGTGGGGGGTGGGAGGCACGGGGCCAGGGGCAGTTCTCTCCTCACTTGTAAACTTGTAGTTTCACAGAAAAGAAAAACAATTCAGTTTTAAATAAAGAAATTTCTTTTTTCCCTGGGTTTAGTTGAGAATTTTTTTTCAAAAAATGAAAGACCCTAGAAGAAAAAATTTTTCTCTCAAAGCCCCAATAGATTTCTTCCCAGTCCCCTACCCTGTTCCTCCTCATTCAGGCCCCAAGTCCATCCCTGGAGACAACAGCTGAACCCTGTTGCTTAGCAACCATGCCTAGTCAAAATGGGGCTCCAGGCAGCCCTCAGCAAAGGAATGATGGAATATGAATGCAGTGGGGGGCTCTAAGAGAATGAGACCTTAAGAGGTACACTCCTCACCCCCAGGGAAGTGGTTGTGTCCAGAGTTGGCAGTGCCCAAGGGTGAGGTAAGAACTACTGCTTCTAGCACCTGAAGGACTCTTGTTCAAGAAGCATGAATTCCTAGCATTCCCTGCAAAGGGACAAGACTGGGAGATGGGGGCAGGGGAGAGGGTGCAAGCCCCACCCAGGGCGGTGACCACTAAAGGGAAAGGGACAGACAGGAGCCTAGGAAAGAAGCAGGATGGCAGCAGGGGCAACGGCTGGAACCTGGTTGCTGGTCCTCAGTCTATGGGGTGAGCCATTCCCTGCCCCCAATGATTCTCCCTGGAGAAAACACTTTGCCCATAATTTCCCTGGAATTTTTCTAGATCTTGGACACTTGCTTTCAAGTTCTTAACCCACGCTCCCCTAATTTCATTAGCCTATCTCCCTTCCTGCCCCTTCTACCTCAGTGCTGTTTCCCAGGGGCAGTAGTAGGCAGTCAAAATATCACAGCCCGGATTGGAGAGCCATTGGTGCTGAACTGTAAGGGCGCCCCCAAGAAACCACCCCAGCAGCTGGAATGGAAACTGGTAAGCAGGGCCCTGTCCCAATTTTCATAGAGACCTGTGATAGCTTGCATCCCCATCACTGTTCGATCAGACTTTCCCAGAGAACTGGCATTGCTCAGGCCCTTCTCTGTCTCCAGAATACAGGCCGGACAGAGGCTTGGAAGATCCTGTCTCCCCAGGGAAGCCCCTGGGATAGTGTGGCTCGTGTCCTCCCCAATGGCTCCCTCCTCCTTCCAGCAATTGGGATCCAGGATGAGGGGACTTTCCGGTGCCGGGCAACCAACAGGCATGGAAAGGAGACCAAGTCCAACTACCGGGTCCGAGTCTACCGTAAGGGTTCCAGGGCCTTGCCCAAGGCCCACTTCTCATCTAAGAAAAAGCTTTCACTCCCAGCCCTTGACTTCTTGGCCCTGGTGTGTGAGGACCTCTGACTTCACTACCTACATTATCACACCTGGAGAATGGGAACCTTCAAAGCTGCAGCCTCTGACTGGACTTTTCCCTCCTGCAGAAATTCCTGGGAAGCCAGAAATTATAGATCCTGCTTCTGAACTCATGGCCGGTGTCCCAAATAAGGTAGTGGAAAGAAGCGGGAGAAGCAGAAAGTGGTCCTGTGAATGTGGTTATGTACTGTATGAATATATCTCACATTTTCAATGATGTTACCACTCTTTCTTCAGGTGGGGACATGTGTGTCCGAGGGAAGTTACCCTGAGGGAACTCTTAGCTGGCACTTAGATGGGAAACCCCTGATACCTGATGGAAAAGGTGAGTCCCCAGGTGCACACCCCCCTGCCCCACAGCTTCCTTCTTCTTGGATCAATATCTCCCACCTGGATGTCTTCTCTTGTCCTCCCTCCCATAGGAGTGTCTGTGAAGGAACAGATCAGGAGAAACCCTGAGACAGGGCTCTTCACACTCCAGTCAGAACTGATGGTGACCCCAGCCCGGGGTGGAAATGCCCACCCCACCTTCTCCTGTAGCTTCAGCCCAGGCATTCCCAGGCGCCGGGCCTTGAACACAGCCCCCATCCAGCCCAGTGTCTGGGGTGAGCAGATGGGGAGAGCCCCAAGTTCCAGTGAACATGTTCTGGAAGTATGGTCCTCCCGGAGGCAGGGGTCAAGCCCACACTCACCATGACCACTCCCAGGTGTTAACACTCAACCTCGTGCCCCTTCCTGCCCTCAGAGCCTGTGCCTCTGGAGGAAGTTCGATTGGTGGTGGAACCAGAAGGGGGAGCAGTAGTTCGTGGTGGGACCGTGACCCTGACCTGTGAAGCCCCTGCTCAGCCCCCTCCTCAAATTCACTGGGTGAAGGATGTGAGTGACCAGGGGGAGCTGGGAGGTAGAGTGGCAACTGGAAGAAGTAACTGGCAATTGGAAGAAGAGCAGAGGGCTAATGGAGGAAAGGTGGGCAAGGAGCTGCGAAAGAAGACAGGGTATCTTAGGCAATGGAGACATGTGGATGGGGATTTTGTAATAGCCTAGTGTCCCCCTTCCTCCACCAGGGCATGCCCCTGCCCCTTCCCCCTAGCCCCATCCTGCTCCTCCCTGAGGTAGGGCCTCAGGACCAGGGGACTTACAGTTGCGTTGCTACACATCCCAGCCATGGGTCCCAGGAAAGCCCTGCTATCAGCATCAGCATTACAGGTAAGACCATTTCCCAAATTCCTGAGACCCTGGGCCTGGGATGAGGGACATAGTAGGCTCCAACTCTCTATCCCTTCTGGCATTATCCCCAAGAGCCATCCTACCCCACCCTCAATGCACCCACACCCAGGTCTCTGCCCCACCCAAATCCTGCCAAGAGAACAGCCCAGCCTCTCTCCTCTGAACCAGAGGGAAAGACTCCACTGTCGCTCCCAGCAAACAGTCCTTTCCCAAACTGAAGTCTTTCCTTCTGACTTGCCCCAACTTTTTCTTCCAGAAACTGGCGAGGAGGGGCCAACCACAGGTGAGGGATTAATTGGAACAGAGTCAGAGAAAAGCAGACAGTCCCTTCCACATGGACTGGGGAGATGGTCAACAAGAAAGGAATAGTGGGAGGACAGCAGAATAGAATAGACAATATGATTGATGTATGTACATTCCATGTATGTATTATATGTCGAAATACATTCTGCTGTCATGTATGACTAAAAAAATAAATAAATAAATCGTGGTTAAAAAAAAAAAAAAAAAGGAATAGTGGGGCTGGGGTTGTAGCTCAGTGGTAGAATGCTCGCCTGGCATGTGTGAGGCCCTGGGTTAGGTCCTCAGCACCGCATAAAGATAAATAAATAAATAAAATAAAGGTATTGTGTCTCATCTACAACTAAAAAATAAGAAAGAAAGAAAGGAAGGAATGGTAAAAAGTGAAGGCTGTGCCCTCAATTTTCTCTATCTCCTTACAGGATCTGTGGGAGGATCAGGGCTGGGAATTCTAGCCCTAGCTCTGGGGATCCTGGGAGGCCTAGGGATAACTGCCCTCCTCATTGGGATCATCATGCGGAGAAGGAGGCGATGCCAAGGAGAGGAGAGGTGAGTGAAGAAAGCCAGATGCCTCAGATTTAGGGCTTCTAGGCAGCCAGTGAGGGGTGTGGGGGATGGAACAATGGAGAGCTAGGAGCCATATGTGGAATTCTCCCCAATCCTCCTTAGGAAGGCCCCAGAAAACCAGGAGGAAGAGGAAGAACGTGCAGAGTTAAATCAGTCAGAGGAGCCGGAGGCAGCCGAAAGTGGAACAGGAGGGTCTTAAGGGGACCCCAGTCAGATCCTGTCCTTCAGTTCCCTTGCTTTTTTCCCTTGAACTGTGCTGGCCCTAAACCCCGTACAATCTCTACCCCACCTCAACACACTTTCTTCCACAACCAGAGCCCTCCACAAACCATGCTGAATAAACACCTGATACATCTTGCCCATACTGTTGTGTCTTCTGTTTATGTGTATGTGTGTGTGTGTGTGTGTGTGTGTGACAGAGAAAGAGAGAGTGTGAAGGGGTTGGGGGAGGGACTTATCCCCTGCACCTTGAGAGCCCTGAAGGAGGCTTCCACATTGCTCTCACTATACCAAACATCTATTTAAGTTAGGGTGAAGAGGCTTCTCTCCTGGAAGGAAGAAGAGAAGGAAGAACTTGGGAAGAGTTCCCATCAATATATTTTACCTTTTTTATTGAACTTGTAATAAAGGAGGTAGTGGGGGCGGGGTGGTTGTTTAAAGTCAAAACTCATATTAGGCACTGGGGAGAGAAAAATTAAATTAAATCAACAAGAGGAATGGAGGAAAGTCAGAGGGAGCCTTGCCCACCTTTCAACATCAAATCAAGAAATCAGGGGAAGCAAAACATTAGGTGAGAGGAAAAAGGGCACTCTTTTCAGTCTGCCCTCCTTCCACAGGGCTGGGAGTTACTACCCAGCAAGGGAGTGAGA